TTGAGGGATCATCTAGTTCAGTCCCCTGCACTCATGGCAGGACTAAGTATTATCTAGACCATTCCTGACAGGTGTTTGTCTAACCTGCTCTTAAAAATCTCCAACGATTAACTACCCTGACAGTTAAGAAGTTTTTCCTAATGATCAATCTAAACCTCCCTTGCTGCAATTTAAGTCCATTGCTTCTTGTCCTATCCTGTGAGGTTAAGAAAAACAATTTTTCTCCCTCCTCCTTGTAACAACCTTTTACATACTTGAAAACTGTTATCATGTCCCTTCTCAGTCTTCTCTTTTCCAGACTAAACAAACCCATTTTTTTCCAATCTTCCCTCATAGGTCATGCTTTCTAGACCTTTAATCATTTTTGTTGCTCTTCTCTGGACTCTCTCCAATTTGTCCACATTTCCTGAAATGTGGCACCCAGAACTGGACACAATACTCCAGTTGAGGCCTAATCAGCGGAGTAGAGCAGAAGAATTACTTCTCATGTCTTGCTTACAACACTCCTGATAATACATCCCAGAATGATGTTCTTTTTTTGCAACACTGCTGACTCATTTAGCTTGTGGTCCACTATGACCCCCAGATCCCTTTCCGCAGTACTCCTTCCTAGGCAGTCATTTCCCATTTTGTGTGTGTGCAACTGATTGTTCCTTCCTAAATGGAGTACTTTGCATTTGCCCTTATTCAATTTCATCCTATCTACTTCAGACCATTTCTCCAGTTTGTCCAGATCACTGTGCAGTGACTTGCTCAAGGTCACACAGGAAGTCAGGAGCAGAGCCAAGAATCTTAACTTCATTGGACCACATTGTAACTGTCTCTTGCTAAATGAATCCAGTCCACAATATGGAGACTAACACTACAGATTTTTGAGACACAAGTTTTCATTTACTTGCTGAAGACTAATTTAAGAGGTTACATTTTATTAAAGATCACCAACATTTAAAATCTTTCATACACATTAATATCCTTCTCCTTTAGCACTGATAGAACATTTATTATTGCAAGTAATAAAAGAAAACATGGCTCACTGCAAATGTATAGCATTGATCTGAATTATGTTAGAAGGCTAACATCTATAAAAGATGCCATGACAGGAAAATATATGGAACATTTAAACCCAATTATTGTGCAGTCTTAAAAAGGGGATTAACATGACCGTACACCAGAGAGAAGAAGAATACTGCAGAAGTGCATTCAGAGTCTATCTTGAGGAATTATTTTAAATCTATTTAGTTCCAGAATTGAAAACTTCATTTATCTTCCCAACAGAGAAGGCACTAAGTGACTGAGTCTCTTATCCGAGAACAAAGAATCACCAGTAATAAACTCTAATACATTAACAGGAGTTGCAGGTTAAGATCTCCCATGTATGGATCACACTCATTAAAATTCATAATTTCTCTGCTTCCTACTTACCCTAAGTGTCTGTCTGGCGTCATGTTATAATCACCCTAATGGAAGAAAAGAAAACCCATTTACTACCTGAAAGCTAACTGGACACATACCATACAAAGGAGATGTATAGGTCTATAAATATTTATCTGTATACTTACAGTATAGACCACAGACTCAGAGCCAACTTTAATCTGGAACATGGCTGCTCCCAGCACATGGCCAGCATAGTACGCCTTGATTTCCAGCTCATCATCTACCTACAGAGACAAAACCATATAGCCAATGTTAGACATCTCTCTCAGCGGTTAAAGAGAATTCATGCATTGGGAATTATGAGCACTGATGGCAGCTGATTTTATTACTCTGTTTCTTCACTGCTAATTTTGATCCCTTCCCAAATACAATTGTCCTCTTCCCATCCCCTGTGTTTGAGAGGCAGCACCCTCTATACCAAAAGTCACACTCCCGCTAGAGGAAACCATAGGGCAGAACCAACTTCTAGTGCAGTACTACCCTGAACAAATAAGGGATCTGATTACCCCCAAAGACAAATGCACTAGCTCCTGAGATGCTTCCATAGCAGCCGCTAAAAGGACCCTGGGTAATCTTTGTCTCACCTTCTTCCTATTTTGTATTGTGTCTCTGACTCCCTGCTTTCTCGTTTCTGCCTCTCCACCCTGGTCTCTTACTTGTTTTTCTTTTTCCTTTTATATGCACTTTGTTTTTTCCACCTATTTTTGGTCTTTGCTAGGTGAGGAACAACCCTCCACCCCCTTTATACATGGAAGGGCTGCAGAGGAAATTGACTAGGTTTAGTCCTTTTCCTTCTGTATCAAGCTCCTTAGAGCACATAGCTGGCTGCAAAGGGAAACTGACAAGAAACACAATATCTTACAAGCTTAAAGTGAAAATGCTTCTTAGCTAGGGCAGGAGTATGAGGGGAGGGGATTAAGATTCCTGGGCGCCTTTCCCTGCTCTGTCACTGACTCACTGTCTGACCTTGGGCACATCATTTAACCTTTTTTTGTCTCTCAGGCACTACGGAAGTGTAGCAATGGAAGACCCTGTTCCCTCCTCTTCAACAGTCCAATTGATTTATTCTGAGAGTTCCCCGGGGTGAGTCATATTACCTGGATTGTCTGGTGAAGGTGGACAGCTACCACTTTTTTCATGCAATCTTTAATCATTTGGGAAGTGAAGAAGTTGGTCTCCCCTTTCTTATCCACAGTAATTTTCCTGTAATCCTCCAGCAGGATGGGGCAGATGGCCTTGGTGGGGTGCGTCATGTATATGGGTCCATCATAGCCAACCATTTCGCTGAAATACGGTAAAGCTCCGCAGTGGTCCAAATGAAAGTGGCTGTGAAGGAACATCCAGAATGGAAGATATGACCCACAGGCACTTAGCTAGATGTTTATAGCCGTCACCTAACACACAGATCTTGTGACTGTGCATTAGCTCATGTAAAACACGTAGAGATCCCTGCATGGAGCAGAAGTGCAATCTAATCTTTGCAGTATAGAACTGCAAGCCATTAAGGGTGACTAGTTTATTAACGTAGGAGGGGAAAGTGGAAGAATTATTTTCTAGTGCTTTCCTCTTCTGCACCTGAATTATAAGATGGCAGGCAGTTTTCTTACCTGATGATTACACAGTCTAGAAAGTCAGTCAGTCTTCCATTCTGGGTAATGTATGAAAAATCAGGAAAGCGTCTCTAAAAGACACAAAAGCAGGTTATGAGATATTAAACAAAGCTGGTTACTGAATTCAAAACATGACATTCAAAACAAATGTCAGCCGCCCATGTAGCATTAGGAATGCACTGTGATCTTATTACAGGGCAGAACTCCAGCAGGACAACAGGGAATGCTGGTGTCACCAGTAAGGTGGATCGCTACAGGCTAAACCCCATAAAAGACATGAATGCAGAGAGTGCCAAGAAGGAGGAGGAGGAGAAAACTGCCAATGGGAGGGTTTATTTTGACATTGCAAATAAGTAATTAAGTTATCGTCAGAGAAGAAAGATAGCTAATCCATTTTATCTTCACCATAATTCTCATTTGTAGGTTTCAGACCTCTTCATAGAGTTCTGCTAAAGCTGATAGTTCGCTCTGTACTGTGTTTTCCGAGTTTTGTTATCTGCACATAAGAATTAAGCTCACTCCTCTCTCTATTAGACGCCAACAACATTCAGGCATCGTGAGCCAAAACAACAGAGTCGGGGGGGGGAAACATGCTGCAGGTCTTGGTTTGAGTCCCATCATCAATCAACTGGCTGGTAACAAAGCTCATCCCAGTACCAAACTAATGATGGGTTTTATGTTTTAAGCGCACAGGAAGCCTCCTGCTGCATAGAGCTGGGGTTCTCAAACTGGGGTCGGGATCCCTCAGGGGTCACGAGCTGTCAGCCACCACTCCAAACCCCGCTTTGCCTCCAGCCTTTATAATGGTGTTAAATATATCAAGAAGTGTTTTTAATTTGGGGGGGGGTGGGGGAGGTTGCACTCAGAGGCTTGGTATGTGAAAGGGGTCATCAGTACAAAAGTTTGAGAACCCCCGACAAAGTGAAATGACACTGAAATGCAGCACTCATTGCCCTGCTGAGCCTCTTTTAAGGTTTTCAGGCAGCCCACACACCACCTGGGGGCTGGGAGGTGGAACTACAGAACACAAACATATATGGGGAAGACTCAGGAACTCAGCATTTGCCAGAGGGGATATTGGTCCATCAAGTGTGGTACTATAACTCCAGCAGCGGTTAATACCTAAGGTTTCAGAGGAAAGTGAGCCTTCACCTAAGAGTGCACCAAAACGTGCTGGATTCTTCAAACAATTTCTAAATGAAGCTTGGTACAGCTGGCCAAGTAGGTTAGGTAGCTAAGGCACCCATAGAACCAGAAGCAATACTGGAAACGGCTGGGCAGATAAACCTTAAAGAATCTGCACACAACATTTGGTCTTTCTGCCATACTTACATCATCATTATAGCCCATGTGCATCCCGCAGTCTAGCATGACATTTTTCCCTGCAATGGACACAAGGATGCAGCTCCGGCCCACATCCTGGCCAGCCCCTGGAGCAAGAGACAAACAAAGGCAGCTGCATCACCCGTCTATATAACCTCTTAAACCTTTAGAAGGATATAAACATTTGAAGCTCTGGGAAAACACTGGCTAGATAAACTTCAACACCCCTATTAAATAGGCAAGTATCATTATCCTCATTTTAGAAAGGAGGAAACTCAGACAGAGGAAATTACTTGCCCAATGGCACACAGTAAATCATTGGCAGAGCTGGATTAGAAATCTAAACCCTCTCCTATAGTCACTCCTCTATGCCACAGTGTCTCATCTTTTGGTAAAAGTGAAGCTCTCCATTTAGCACCTGGCTTGTTAGTTTCAGACCAAAAGACATACCTTAGCAAAAAGCATTTCTGCTGATATATTTAAGAAGATACCATCGAACAGTTTATCACCAAAACTGCTATCATCTTTCAGGAACATCCTCTGTATGCAGACTACACACAGAAACATAGCTATACAAACTAACAGCAGCTATTTTTGAATGTGTGTACTCCACTGAACAATGTCCCCCACTGGTCCTATAGCAATGTTAAATAAGCTACCATTCTGCACATGTTGTGCTAATATGTATGCTGAAGCAAAACCACGAAGGAAGAGGCTCACAGCATAATCCAGCTTCAGTAAAAACACTTTTGGAGTGGTCGGAAAACAGTGTTTGCCAAATTCAAAAGGAAAAGAGGAAATAATAATATTTTGCACTATATGGCAGCTTATAAATATAAATGAATTAATCCTTTCAACATCCGAAAGCAAGGTTAGCAACATCTCTTTCCGTCTTCTCATTTGCAAAGCAAGATTAAGATTGCCTAAAGAGAGGAGTCAAATCTGAATGCTGCATGCTAGTTACATAAATATAACGTAGTAACATAAGTGCAAGTATAAGACCATAACAAGCTATTCTATGTTAAAACATGGAAAGAAGCATGAATCTCTTGCTATGCGTATTGTAGTTATTTCTAACTAATTTTAATTCCTTTAGGGCTCTGTCACAGCATCCAAACCTTTTCTACTTTTCTATCTATTTCAGCTCCATCTTGTGGTTTGAACTTACCCAAGGGGGTGACTTTTATTTCAGGCATTTTAAGCCGAGAAGAACTTTTTGAACCTTAGCCGTATAGCAGGCTATTTCAGAGACACCATAACTGGGTACTGAAAACAAGAGAAGATCCAGCCTTTCTTCAAACCACTGATCTGTTTATTTACTAATATCACAGAGAAGAGCTCAGCTGGGGCCCCATGGCTTCCTAGAGGGAGACAAGAATACAGACAAGAAAAGGGTCAGGTAACTCAGCACATTCTTAGTGTCATCTAAAAATGCATGCCTGCTCCCAATATAGTTAAGGCTTAGGTTCTGCGAAAACATAAACTGGTTTCCTTGACCCTAACATTATTAGAGTGTTTTATAGTCGCTCAGTCCAGGACTGATTGGGCCATGGACTTGGTCCTTAGAGGGATTCTGCCCAGGTGAAAGGGGATGCACATTGGCATGGCTGTATGCGGGAAGCCTGACTGCTGCTGATCCTGCCAGATAGAGTGAGGTTTGCAGCCTCCTAGACTTTCTAAGTTAATTCATGTATTAACAAATTGCAGACAAACTCCCTATTACAGCCTTGATTTTGCAGTGTGAGTTAGTTTAAAAAAATTAAGACTGTCATCCTCTGCATCCCTTTCCCAACGCAAACTGATATTAGATCAAAGATGAGAATGAATTTAGTTCAATTAACTTCTAAGGCGGGACATAACAAAACACCTTAAATTGTCTGAATGCAATTAGTACATTCTTTAGCTCTGCTTCTAGGATTCCAGAGCAGTCCCTATTTTATAAATCATTACAGGAAATTGTGAGGTTGCATTATCACCACTGCTGATGGGAAAATTTTCCTCAAAACAAAACAAAAATGTTATTTAAGTCAAAATCAAAATATTTACAAAAAGTTGTCATTTTTGACATTTTAAAAAAAACAGATGAAGTGTTTTAATAAAAATCAAAATATCCTGAAACAACATAAAAACATCCCTTTTTTTTTCTCCAGAATACAACGTTCTGATTGTTTTGTTTCAAAACAACTTTTAGGAACAAAATTTTATTTATATAAAAACCAGTTTAAGTTTTAAAAGGTTGGGATCCGAATAAATGATCAAAACAAAAGTGTCCCAATTAACCCGCAGCATGGCACCCCCCGTTCACCCCCCACACACACACACGGCACCCCCTAACCCCCAATTTCCCCCCTGCCCTCCCCAACTCCCCTCTCCCCAGCACGGCACCCCCTTGTCCCTCCCCAACTCCCCCCTCCCCAGCACGGCACCCCCGACCCCCACCCCAACTCCCCCCTCCCCAGCACGGCGCCCCTTGTCCCTCCCGCCGGGCACAGGCCCCGCTCACTCCCAGCCCGCGGCTCCCAAACGGACTCACGTTGCCATTACTTCTGGCAGGCCCGCTCCCCCCGGTGATATCTGCGCATGCGCGACAGCCCTAACGCAGCACCGTCCCCTGACTTGGAGGCGGTGTCACTCCCCTATCACGTGACGCAGGTATAGCCTCTCACCACGTCCACAGCGAGCGCCAGCCAATGGGTAGCGGCTATCATCCTCCCCAACCACCACCCGTCTCCCTACTTGCGATTGGCCAAGGCAACGTGGGGCCCGGAGAGGAAGACGGTGAATGGCTGGAGCACGGGCGTCGATTGGCTGCGGAGAGAGAGGGCGGGGCAGCAGTCGGGAAAGCGGAAGCAACGGGCTGAGGGGAGCCGGGGAAGTCTCGAGCGGTTCAACATGGCGGCGGGGGCGGAGACGTTCTCCCTGCGGGAAGTGCTGGTGGCGTTCACAGCCTGTGTCAGCGAGCAGCGGGAAGTCCGCGTGGACCCGTACCTGGCGGGCTGGAAAGGCCTGGTCCGGTAAGGGGAGGGGGGGGCTCGTGGGCTGTGACTGGCCTCAGCCGGCCCGAGACCTCAGCGGCCGCCCGCGAGGCCCCGCCCCGCTGTTTAAGGACAGCGGGGGAGATAGCGAGTGGGCCGCTGGGGGCGCTGTCTGGGTTCGCTGTCCCGCCCATAGCTAGCGTATGTGGTCACGTGGCAGAGGGCCACGCCCTTCCCGGAAGTACTGGAGGAGACATGTGAGGAGCCTGCCTGGCCTGTCGCCCCAGCGCTGCACTGGCCTGTTGTGGGGGTGTAGGCAGAGCAAAGCTTTCAAGCGCTTTAGGACTGGAGGAGGCAACCAGTGTCCCAGTTAGGTACCAGCGAGAGCAGATTGTTAAGCATAAGGATCTCACAGGCTGCAGGAGACCACTTAAAAAGAAGTGGAAAATTAACACCACTGCAGGCACAGGACAAAGGGGGGTTGATAGTTAAGAAAATGTTATAATGCACTGTAAAACCAGTGTCAGGTAACTGTCCTAGGGAGCATAATCCCCTTCTTTGGAACATGTTGAGGATAACTGCGCCCTCACGCTCCATCTAACTTGAAGAGTTCATTGTAGCTCAGAAGCCTGTCTTGCTCACCAACAGATGTTGATCCAATAAAAGATATGAACTTACCTACCTTGTCTCTCTAATGTCCCCATACTACACACTTTACATGAGGTTAATGCAAACCACTTGCCTCAGCCCCTGCTCTTGTGATCTAAGCTAGAGGTGAAGCATAATGAGTCATGACAGAATTCAATTTTGATATTTTTAATTATGATAAATATGCTTCAAACTAATAAATTTTATCAATTTAAATTTTTGCAGTTGCACAAAATTATGGGGGGGGGGGTCAGACCGTTCAATGACAATAGACAAAGTTTCAGCTTTTGAATCTCAATAACTGTTTTGACATATGGTATTGGCAATTTAACAAAGTAAATCGCCTTACATCAAACTCAAAGTTCTCAAGCAGCATTTTTCTTACTTTGCCTATACGTAAACTTTGACTGTTGATGAAAATATTTTTTCATCAGTTTGTGTGAAATCAATGTTTATCAATGTCTACCGCTAAAAATCTAATCCTTCCAAGCCTAACACTGAAACACTGCCTCTTGATCATCCCTGAAAAAGGTAGGTGACTAGTACTAGGCACAAAGTGGCTGTTAGTATATTACATTCTATGTAGTTAACCAGTTTTACTTTATATTACCGACACTTGACTCCACTACTATCTTGTTTGTAAGCCTGTTCCTGTTATTTACTACATTACCTTTAATAAAAATAAAAATGACTACCACCTTATTCTTACATATATTCCATTTTAGATTTAAGTTCAATCTATGTTCACCAGTTCTGGTCTGTCCAATAATTTCTGATATAAAATTAAGACTGATCTAACTCTTAACCACTTAAGTAAGGTCACCATTTCAGCATCATTTCTCAAGCTCCCTTACTCTGTCACATAACACAATAGATTTTTTGTTTTGATTGTAGGTTTCTGAACTGCCTGGGCACAATTTTCTCCTTCATTTCTAAAGACGCAGTGACCAAAATAGAGATCATAGAGAATTACCGTAATAGTGACCAGCGAGAAAAGTACTTGACCGTTCAATCCATGGTGGAGTATGAGCTGGCTAATGGCCTGGTTGATCTCCAACAGCGATCCAAGCACCCTAACTCAGGTTGCAGAACCTTCTTGCGCCTCCACCGAGCCCTTCACTGGCTGCAGATGTTCTTGGAAGGACTGAGGACTGGCGAAGACAACTCCAAAACCTCTGTGATCTGCTCAGAGACGTACAATGCTTCCTTGGCTAACTATCATCCCTGGATTATTCGCAAGGCTGCCGGGGTGGCTTTTTGTGCCTTACCCACTCGAAATACATTCCTTGAAACCATGAATGTGGGCACAGCTGAAGAGGCGGTGACTATGCTGGGGGATGCTTTGCCCTATATCTGTGAAGTCTATAAAATCACAGAGGAGCTCTATGCCCAACACAAACTGCTCGACCTCCCCTAGCATAGGGGATGTTTGATTAGAATATCTCAATATTGAGATTGCTGGAATTCACTGTATGGGGGAGGGTGCACTTATGTAAATAAGTGGTTATTTGCACTAGAGACTGGATTCTCTTCCTCTTCCCCCATGTCTCTAGTAGAGCCCATAAATAACCTGATTGGTACTCTTTGGCCTTTTAAAAGAGAGCTGACTTAATTCTTGGCTCCCCTTTTATAAGAAGACATTTGGAATAAACATTCCAAAGCCCATATTAGCTTGTTTAAACTTAAAGGACTTATTGCTTTTCTCTGCACTGAACTTCTTTTTCAAAACTTTTCAGGTCTTTATTCTTTGTAAAAGCCAAACAAAGCACCCGGCCACGAGTGATCACTTAATCTTTGTAGCTCCAATGCCTTTTTAAACAAAAGTAATGAGGACTCTCCCTTTGTCCTACTCGTGTGATGATGCTAAAATTCAGCTAAACTAGGGTTGGAACCTCTTGCTGTGATATTGTAAGGCCTGTGTACAGATGACACTCATTGCCATTCAGCCACTTGTTCTCTGGTTGGGTTAGCAAGGTGATGTGTGTTATAGGGCCTGATATTTTGGTTTTGATGCACTGAAAAGCAGGGCCCTTGAAATTATGCTCTCTCTCAACAGTGAGAGCAATTGATTACAGACCACCTTCATGGCAGCTGGTCATCACTTGCACTGGATAATACTTCCTGCCCTTTCTTCTCTCACTCATCCTCACCAAAACTAAATGGTGTGGAGGTGCGGTATAAGGATACGTTTCCCCCCCCCCCCTTTTTGTATGGGGCTGTTGAGATAGGAAGTCCCTTTGTTATTTTCTCCCTCTTCCCACTCCCTCCCCCCCCCTTTTTTATTACTTGGCATCATGCCTTTTGGGGGCGGGGAATAATCTTTAGTGCAAACTGCACAGTACTGAATCACAGAATAATTCAGAGCCTTATGGATGTTGAGGCTACAGTTACAGAAACTACCCCTGCAGTAGACTTTAGGAAATAAAGGGAATGCTGAAAGCCTAGACAAATGAAGTCCTGCTGGCTGGGTGGGGTAATTATGATTTGTACTATACATAAAATCATAGTGTTTGCTGAAGCTTAATGCCTTCCAGTCCAAATCAATCATAAGCTTTAAAAGGAGGGTAAATCTTCATGCAAGTGGTAAGGGTAAAATTGTTTTAGCAAGAATTCCTATATATGTTGTGTATATAATAGGTGTATAAATAGGAAAAGGTATGCAAGCTGGTTATAAAATAATGAATTGTACTTTATCAGATATTTTCAAAATTTATCTTTCACAACACTGCATGGATATT